GTGGCCTGACCTGGCCCGTGCCCCACTACGGGTCCACCGGGACAGCCCCGAGACCTGGCCCGTGTCGGGGCGTGTCGACCCACCCTGACCTGTATTTTTTTTTCCAACCATATCTCACTCAAAAAGCAGCTCTGTAAGTTCTGAATTTAACAAAAAAAAAAAGACTGCATATGTAGATTTCAAATCTCCTTCAAAAAAGATTTGTTTTTTTTACAAATGGATATTACAAAATTAAGCAAATCAAACTTCAAAACCCTAACTAATCATCACAATAGTTGCTTCTATCGGCCAAAGTGACACCACCGGCCGTCTCCAAACCGTGTCGTGGCTCGCGGCCTCTGCCTCCGCCTCCCAACTATTTCAGATGGTGCAACCCCCAATATATCTGTGAGTATGTGAGTGTGCAAGTCGTCGGAGCTCCGGGCTGGTGCAGTGTGCAAGTTTGTATTTCGCGGATAGGTCTGTTCGAGATAATTTGCATATCAAATATCAAATAGAATAGAAAGACAATAATAAGATGGAAAAAGCATTATCATTCATTTATTTATAGTTATTATTAAACTCTATGCTCATTCACATATGCAAATAATTTTTTATTATTATTATTTGATTTATGCACATTTATAGGTGCAAATAAGATTTTATATGTTACTTGGGTTTGTATGTAATATTTAAAACCATAAGTTAAATAATGGGCATATCATGTTTTATAAATTTGAACATTAGTAAATATTAACGATCGATTATCAACGATCCTTAATTACAGAATTAAGGGTAGATACATGGTGATCAAGTATGTTTTTTATATGTATTATGCTAGTAAGGGATAAAGTGTGATATGAGATATCAAAGAAATAAAATAATGGTAGTGTGCATGTTGAAGGCTTGACTTTAGATGTTATTCACGCTATTTATGTTGAATGAGAATTCATGTTTGATTAAATAAAGTTTTATGTTCTATTGCTTTATATTTTGATAAATGACATATCACAAGTGGACAAAAAATCATTTATTGGTTACTTGCAAAACATAAACAATTGATTCACAACCTAGATGGAAATTGAACAGCTATCGAAATAGTTGTAGTGTGAGCAGTACAGTCGGTCTTGACACACACTGGTACACATTGGTGTATTGACCAAATACCAGAGTGGAGCAGTTCGTTTTATATTGATCGGTGTAAACGAACTAGGACTCGACTAATTACAACGTTCTCTTAACTAGTTATATATAAACAAACACATCCTTATAGTAATTACTATTTTGATTCAACAAGGCGAGGTTTGTAGATAACTACCAATAACTATCTGAATAAGGCAGTGATTCCTACATGCCATGGTGTTCTGTTATAATATTTACGGTCACCGTGTACTTCAAAAAGTTGAGGTTTGATGATGTTCCCAAAGTGATTTCAGAAGGATTACTATGTTAAATTCGGATATAATAATACTGTATTGAACGATACTAGTTTCGGTTCAAGAAGTGGGTTAATTTAATTATTTGTAATTAAACAAATTGACAAACATTCTATTTTAAATAGGGGAAAGTAATTCGAGTATTTAGAAGTGGAGCTCAAATCGTAATTTGGGAATTAAATTAGTGAAATTCAATAATACTACTTTATTAGAATGACTGTATTATTCCAATTTGGGCTGAGAGGCTTGGCCCACAGTTAGGCCCAAATACGACAAGCCCAATTTAAAGCCTACTTAGGGTCCTTATTGAAGTCTATAAATACACTTCTTCTTCAGTCTTCCAGGACATACAATACATTGAAATATCTAGATTCTCTTTCCCACCAAGGGAGTTCTAAAGGTGTTAGGTAATTCAGTAGAAGATCTTGAGGTAGTCGAGTACCCGACCACTATCGGCCGCCCAAAACCACCATCCAACCGTCTTGTGACCACTAGTGACCACCTACTACAACCTGGAAGTTCCCGGCGATCTGATGCCGAGACCCTTGATCTCCCAGGGCACGTCCCCGATGAAATGCAACATCCCAGCATTGGTAACGCTACCATTTGTAGCCCGCGACAATCCTGTGCCCCGCTTGCGACCCATTCAAGCAACGCCGTGCACCCGCGAGATTCCCGCGACCCGCTCGATGCCCAACCAGCCCGCGACTAGTTTCCCAGTGTCGATCGCGACCCACCTACTCACGTCCGAACACACGCGACCCATGAATCTTGAGAAATTTACCCCCTTTATTGTTAAGTTGCTAAATAATATTAATAATACGAATGTGGTATCTTTTAATCATAAATACGAGATATTTATTTAATTAATGAGAACTTTAATTAAAGATTTCCTTCCAGATTCTCAATTAAATCTTGTCACTAATCTCTCTCTCACCCTCATCTTATTCTTCTTCTTTCATTATTTCCAAAATGCAGATCCCCAATTTCTTCTCTTCAATTTTTTAAATTTTAAAAATTACTTTTCAATTTCGAATCCAAAGAGGTCCAGTTGGGCGGGGCTACAAGCGACGGTGCAACGCACGAGGCTTGGACAGACGTGGAGTCTCGAAGGTCGATGCTTGCCTGAACTGAGTGCGCAGTTGCCCGACCTAGCGATGGTGTGAAAGTGATGTGATTGGTGGAAACTCGGCCATCAGCAGCGCCGGTGGATGTTTATGTATTTTTTTAAGTTAATTTTATTTAAATGCATTATATTTTTTTAGAATCTCAATTTTTTTGAATGTCAAGGTGTATTGTGTTTATCCTGTTTCAAAATTGGATATATGTTGTTTATCGTATGTATAACTAAATTCAATTTGAATATTGCAGTTATTCCTTGAACTTTTCTCAGATTTTTTTACCAGATACATATTTACCATACCTATACTCCAATTGTGTGCATATATTCTGTCAATTGCCTCAATATCAGAGAATTGTCAGATCATATTTATATAATATACACACACACACACACACACACTATATCTAAATATATATTTGGTGGTTATTAGGGAGTCTGAATTTCTTCTTATCGAATGAGATTTCACGAAGAACATTTTTTTTCCTGATCGAGGATTATTTTTTTTCACCTGGATGGATGATTTTCTTCTTTTTTTTTTCGAATTCAAGATGTCGATTAACCAGTTGAAATTTTGAAATACTGTATCCCTCAATTCTAGGTATCAAATTTGGTATTTTTCTTTTCTATTTCTATTTTGGTTGCAGAATAAATGAATGTTTAATATGCAGAGAGAGAAAATAATCAGC